ATACAATACACGAACATCATAGAAACATGGTATGGTTATTTATCGCTATAAAACCTAATGTTAGTCTTCAATCAAGGTGATATAGACTCTGGTGGCCGTACTTAAAGTTATATTTGCAATGAAGTTATCGAGGTAGTCAAATTGCTACCTTAGGTTTAAATTACACTTACTGTGATTGGTCTAAAAGTGATACTTTATAAAAAATCGATTCACATAATATCTAACCACTCCGGTACGCAAAGAGTCTCTGATTAAATCTTCGAGTTAGGTGAAGACATATTTGGCGTTTCGAATTTAGAAGATTTCAATAGTGATTCATAGTTTAGGTATGTATTTATTGTAACCTAGTGTAGTTTTTTTTATGGCATAAGCCGGTAAACGAGCAGACGAATCACCTGATGGTAAGCGTCGCCCATGGACACCTGGAACACCAAAGGCGTTACAAGTGCGTTACCGGCTTTTTGGGGATTAGGAGTTTGAGGATCGTTGGGGATTCAGGGATTGGGGAGATTGGGGAAAGGGAAGATAATTGGGCCTCCGGTAACTTTACTCACACGACGAAACACAACGCAAGCGTTGCTTCACGTCGGTTTTCTGTGAGGCCGTGGTATCACTCCGGTCGATCCGGCCCATTCGTGCCGAAGCATGGCTCTCCCACACTTAGTAGTTATATGTTTCATGGCATAAAATGGGCAAAAAGCAAGTGTTACATAATGTACAAGCATTGATAAATTGTTAACATATCTACTTACTCCTTCAGATTGTCACAATGTTTGAACATTCAAGAGTGATGACTCGAGGGAGCTCACAATAAATTATATCTAAGTATACATTACATCATAACATTAAATCCTGATACAATCTCCTTAAGTTAAACATCTTCAAAGCTAAAGCGAGGTATTACACGACCTCCTAGAACGTTGCCCTCCTGCCTCAAAGAACCCCCTCTATAATATCCAGTCTAGAATAAAGCCTTACGTAGGTAACCACATTCTCCCGTCTAGTCTAGATTTATGAGAAAAAAACCACTTTACCTAGATTACCCGTGGATGGAGGTTGATGCTCTCAGTATTAAAATATCTTTAAACTCAACAGCAGATTTACTCGTAGTTTTTGAAAACGAATCAATTAAATATTTGTCTAAGTTATCTATATATATAAAAATGAAGCCTTTTTTCCCTTGGTCGCGGCATCACGTGTCGGCTGGACCGATTTCACTAATTCGTAGTTTTTTAATTTTTTATTATTAGGAGAAGGTTCTTAAATAAAATTCCTGAAAATCCTATGGGAACGAGTGAACACGGGATTGCGCGTACGAAGTCGCGGGTAGTATCTAGTGTTTTATAGATAGCTTTTAAGGTAAATAACATTTTTAAAGATATTAAATGTAGGGTTCTGTTCTTTGGCGTACCTCTCTTTTAAAGATTGTTATAAATAATCATCAGGCTGTTGTATAATCCGCCTTATCGTCTACTATTTTCTGCCAGCGTGGGATAAAAAATAACTTAAGAAGTGGAATTCTTTGTCAGAGTGTATTTCCTGAAGGGTTTAACCTGGGTGTCTACAAGGCCCGAGTGAATAGGTTGCTTATGGGACGACGTGCTCCATCGTAGACCGCATCATGACTTACCACCAGGCGAGATAGTGGTTAAACGTCGCCCCATCAAATATACAAAAAAAAATCTGCTTGTTAATCCAGACCATAATCTACCTCTATTTAAAATTTCATCTTGATACCTGCAGCCGTTTTTGTGTTAAAGAGTAATAAAAACACAGACACACGCATACATCCTCACAAACTCTCATTTACAATATTAAGTAGGACATTCATAAAGACCGGATACCACCTATATCTGATAAACCTGAACCTTTTGAACTACGACCCAACTGATATACGTGGCGACTATGGAACAACCTCTTATGTAGAGGAGGCCCATAGCTGTAGACCGTGATGAGCTGTTGATGATGATGATGATGATGATGATAAGACCAGGTATTTAAGGAAGGGAACCGTAAAAGGTATCACATTTTCTTGGGGATTTTCCAATCCTTTTGTACGGACCCCACAACACCCACTGTACCCATTTTACAATTTCTCAAGATTTTACAAAAAGTGAATTGTAAATAGACAGGAGTTCCATTAATCACTGCGAGTTAGACAATGTTTAGCCTCTTCATATTGTTAAAATACTTTTAAAAACTCAAAGGAAATTTTAAGATAAGTGAAAAATGATTGTGAATGGAATTAATGTTGTTCTTATCGACTTTAGATCGGTTTTTTTAAATAACCGTTTTTACGAGAAAATAAAAGTAGGAGCCTAAGTTTAGTTCACCTCTTATATATGTATGTTCACACCTCTGTCTACCCGTTTGCTTTTTACTTACAGACCGTACTTTTGGTAAAATTGACGTACTAAGAAACAGTGCCGTAACTAAATGGTGGCAAGTCGACAAAATGCCATGAGCCTCAGCTGGAGCCCGTTCAGAGGTTTTCATCTGAACTTCCCTGTTTCTGTTTTTTATTGGGAACGTGAGCCCATCCAATGAATTTGTCACGGGTCCTGAAGGGAATAGTTACGTGTGCTAAGAATTATGTAATGATTTGCTTGAAAGTATATGTGTCACATGTAATAGAAGTAAGCCACTGCCACAATAAACATACACAACCATCAAAGAATTTTCAAAAAAATAAAATAAAAAACAAAAACAGCACAGCCTTCCTTAAGAGAAGTCATTTCAGTAATTTATCGTGAATGTGAAAGTAAATTAAAAAAATACAATGCCAACCTCATCAAGCTGCAAAAAAGCGTGAAAAAGAATAATTAGTTGCAATCAAGTTCGTAAATAAAGGTCATTAATTTCCCTCCTATCTGCAGTGTCGGACCACTAGACAGAATACCAAATATTTGCGCTTGTTTGTTTGTTTGTAGAGAGAGACAATCCCAACGCATTTGTAAAAGTCCTCTCTCGAATAATTAAATGTTTTGTGACGAAGATTAGGATTTAGGACGGTAGGTACTGCACTGTGAACTGTTCTGTTGGCATTTGATTGTGAGTCTATCTTTTGTTTTTATATTTTCACCGACGTTTAAAAGCATTTGACATACTGTCAGGTTAAGAAGGCCATACACGCTATAGTTATGGATGATGGTTATTACTGTGCATGCAAAACTGACAAGCATAACCGAGCTCCGATGCACCGACAACTGTGCAGTTTAATCACATACACGCTAGGGCTTGCCTGTCGGTTATGCATGCACGGCTAAAACCATCATGCAAAACCTAGCGTGTATTGCCTCCTTTAGAGAAGTGGTCACAAGTAATTAATATTAGGTTAATCTGTTGAATTAATTATTAGGTTTTCAGCTTACTCACGTAACTGTTAGAGAATAGCAGCGACAGTCGCCGCGTCGCGGGTCGTGGAATGCTGCTCATGAATATTGCCTCTAGCAAGTTATGTGAGGAAGCCGAAAACCTAATAATTAAATCTCTTAAATACGATTTCTTGGTCGAATAAAATTTTGGTATTTTTTCTGATATTCTTAATATAGCACTGGACTTGAAATCGTACTCGGCTGTTAAGTTTATCGCAATAACTTCACCTCCACAAGATATTTAAAAGATAACTCGAGAAAGCAGGCATTATGCATTTAATATGCATAGTGGTAATATGCAGTGTGCCTTTGGCTACCTGTGCTCAAGGGTGGAATAGAATAGAATCATTTATTTGCACTGAATGTAGTACTACGTAGTACTGAATGTATATACCTGTGATATACCTACAACCTTATATCATGTTCAATAGAAATATCTACAGTTCCGTGTCCTTCAGAGATTTGAAATACATTTTTGCCAAAATAGATTAACATATTAAAAAATAAACGAACCTATTTATAGTTAACTTGTAAATAATATTCAATTAATATTCATAACATCTAAAAATACGTCCACGTGTAGTAGGTTTGTGAACACGACATGATGGCGAAGTAATGAGACGGCTCTGATTGGATTGTGTCCGCCTGATTGCGACCCTTTCTCCAAGAGCCCCTACGTGGAGCGGTGATAAGGGGCTCTCGAAAGGATCCTGTCAAACCATGTGTTCATGTTTCCCTAAATGCGATTATTTTTGGTACTATGTGTATAAATGACTGCGTTTTTTTAACTCCGTTTTGTAAGAAATATTAGGCTGACTCGTTTAAAGTGCGATCTCTAACCAGACCATGGCAAATCCCTCTTATATATATAGGAGGAGCATAGTTCATCTCTGGTCTTTATATTTTTAAGGGGGGAAATCATTGAATTGCGTTGTCCTGGGTAAAGCGGGAGGGAGTGTCAGACTCTTACTGACTAAAAACCACCCCGTTCCTACTCCTGCACGTCGAACCGGAGCCCCGGTAACCCGTTAAGTTCTCCGCGACTCAGAATCGGTATCAGCCCTATTGGGCCCCATCCGTGGTGGTCTGATGGCTCCTTGAGGCGCGCGCGGAACGCTCGGCGCCGTACGCTCGGCTCTGGTTCTGGTCGGACGGCGAGCCACCCATGCTCACCGTCCACAGGCCCGATGGGATATTGATGTGATTGGATTGAATTCAATTCATTTTTTCTAATTTACAGGGGCAGTACTCGTTCCCACTCCTAAACTTTGACTGTCTCATTGGCCGAGTAGTCGCAAGTGCGACTGCCGGGTAAGGGGTGCCGGGTACGATTCCCGGGTCGAATAAAGTACTACTGCGTTTTTAAAAAAAATCTCAGTAGTAGCACGGAGTCTGGAATTATGTTTATGGCAATAGGCTCACCCCCATTACATGGAACTCATAACATAAATAGTGAAAAGTGGGTGTTACATTGTACAGGGGATTTAAGTGCTGTTTATGCCTACCCCTTCGGGGATAAATTAAAAGGCGTGATGTTATGTATGTACTCGTTCTGTAATCTGTAGTCTTATGGGACGTAATTTCGCCATTCTACCTTTTTGATAAATATTGTTTGTATTGTTCCAGGTCTCCCCAACGACCTGTCAGTCTCCTGGCACCAGTACCCCTACAGTCTGGGCATCGTCTTCTGCAAGCTGAGGGCACTCATCTCTGAAGCGTAAGTACATATTATACTGTAGGTACTTTTATAATGTTAGTCTATGAGATGTGACAGAATTGTATCATTTAGTATACCCCAATGGGAGACAGGCGTGGTGATAATGATAATGGGTTTTTATGACGGAAGAAAATCTCTGAAAGATGCAACCTTTTCAGGAAGAAATAATGGAGGGGCCGATTTTGTATCAATGCCTTTTTATGGGGGGAAAATCATCAAACGTAAAATGGATTGACTGTATGAGTTTTAATGCTAACACAAATTATTACACATAATATCTATTTAATGTCATATAATCTTAAACTATATGTCGTGGTGGCCCGGAGGTTTAAGACACCCGCTTCTCACGCATGAGGGTTCGAAACCTACCAACAGCAAGTACCAATGTGACTTTTTCCGAGTTATATGTACTTTCTAAGATTATCTAGACTAGTACACTGACAAACTGTGAAGGAAAACATCGTGAGGAAACCTGGGCTTATAATTTCTAATTATAAGTGTTTAGGGAACAGAGAGTATAGTTCCGACCAGGCGAGGTGATCGTGCCTGGCGGGCTCTCTGCCCAACAGTTGTTCGTTGGGATTTTCTATCCGTGTTTATTCGCTTGTAAACTTTGCATGTATCGCACATTCGTAGGATTCTTGTGACGTCATCCGTTGACATGTTGCATGCGTCGCCACATCACTCCCTCCCAAGACCGGAGGTCGATCCCGCTGAGACGGCTGTCGATGCTTGAGATGAGCGGTGCCAGAGCCAGTATAGAAAGTCTCTAGTTCCAGTGAGTCGGAACTGTCAACCCGCATTGAGCAAGCGTGGTGATTAATGATCAAACCTTCTCCGTGTGAGAAGAGGCTTTGCTTAGCATTAGGCATTAATAGGCTGTTGATGATAATGATGATGAATCTTAAAACAGAACGAGTAGAGACAGATGTCCCTAAATGGTACTCTAAATATTTCAAGTCATCCCTATTCTATTTTCGGAACTAACTGACAGTTTACAAGTAACTCACTGTAACTGTCTTCTCAACAAGTTCTATAATTTGTAAGTTGTCAGCACTTAACCGGGACTTTAATGTGAACTGATAGTTCAGACGAAACTGTTTGTAAGAACTTGTAGTTAAAATTAACTGTACCCTTTAACTGAACATAATTGACAGTTCCTTTGTCTGACTGAAAGTTTACAAAGATGTCTAAGTTTCATTGATATTATTAGTAACTAGCTATGCCCACGACTTTATCCGCGTGGAATAGTGATTCATAGCTCCTCACCTAGGTGATAGCGTGATATGTAGCCTATATGTTGACCCGACCTGTTAGTAATACTCATGCAAAATAGAGTGATTTACAGCATTACTGTATCTTTCGGTTCTGATAAATAATTAAAATTAAAATGGTTGGCAGGAATTATAACTTAAATAACTCCATGCTTTAAACTAAAACCGTTAATTTAGTTAATGATGGAGTGGTTCAAAGTGAGTTAACGATTAACAAAATTATTTAAAAGATAGTAAAAAGCTATATTTGTTAACCAAAACATCCCTAAAGTATAAAATACTGGAATAACCTTATATTTAAAAACATAATTTACAACTTTGAATGTTCTTTGCTAATTAAACAATCAATTTAACGCGGCGCCGCTCGCCGGCCCAGCATCAGCCGACGCCTTGCAATGGCCACCAGGGGACAATTCTTTTAATTAAATCTTATTTACTGTTATTAATAAACAAGGAAAACGTGATAAATGTAAAATAAATTAAGAAAATTTCTGATTCTCTATTTTTGTGGTACAACATTAACTAAAAATACGGGTTAATCATGACATTCAAGGAAAGGTCAACCAGTTTACAATAAGAAGCCAAGTATGACATAACATAACATCACGCCTTTTATCCCCGATGGGGTAGGCAGGGGTGTACATTATGCCATTGTACAATGTAACACCACTTTTCACTATTTATGTTTTGAGTCCCATGGAATAGGGAGTGAGCCTATTGCCATATACCGGGCACAATTCCAGACTCCGTGCTACTACTGAGATTTTTTTAAAAACTTTGCCCGTCCGGGAATCGAACCCGAGACCCCTAGCCCGACAGTAGCACTTGCGACCATTTGGCCAACGAGGCAATCAAGTATGACTTCAAATTAATAGGGCTTTACTCGAATTGTTCACGTAATAATCTAATTTGAAGTCAACAGAAGTTCGATATGAGGATTACAGGTAAATAAATACAGCATTGATCAATGTCTAAGATAAACTTGGTGAACCACGGCCTCACAGAAAACTGATGTGATGCACTTGTAACACCTCTAATGTTCCAGGTGTCCATAGGCGACGCTAATTGCTTACCATCAGGTTATCCGATTGCTCGTTTACCGGCTTATCACATAAAAAAACCTGAACTTTCCAACTGAACCAAAGGTCAGACTGGGAGAAAATGCCTGTGGTATAAAGTCCATTAGATCCACTCTGTGCATGAAGCATAGATAAATAAATAAAACTTTTTACAGTTAAATACATAAGATTGAATTATTTATTTTAACCTTTGCAGCCATAAATAAATAAATTGGGTTCAACACGTAGGTACTATTGGCAATGATTCTCGCTACGTACTTATTCTTAAATGGATTTCTTAATCTTTGCTCTTTGAAGTCGGTATCAAGTAGAAAACGTGGGTTGTTGATTACTTTAAGAAAACCGGCGGCTGAGATAAGATAGAGGGGTACTGGACGTGGAAGCTCGGAGTGAGGAGAAAAATATTTAGATTTGTGAGTATATAAAACTATCATACTAATACTGCCTCGTTGACCGAGTGGTCGCAAGTGCGACTGTCGGGCAACGGGTCTCAGGTTTGATTCCCGGGTCGGGCAAAGTACTACTGGGTTTTTTAAAAATTCTCAGTATCTCACGGAGTCTGGAATTGTGATCGGTATATGGCAATAGGCTCACCCCCTATTACATGGGACTCATATCATAAATCGTGAAAAGTGGGTGTTGCACTGTACAGTGGCATAATGTACACCTCTGTCTATCCCTTCGGGAATAAAACGCGTGATGTCATGTGTTATGTTATGTCATACTAATATTATAAATGTGAAAGTTTCATTGTTTGGATGTTTGTCTGTAAACCACGCTGAAACTACTGAAAGGATTTTTATGAAACTTGGTACACAGGCAGGGTAGCTGACTTAGGTCATAGGATACTTTTTATCCTGATTAAATGCTCCTAAGAATTGCGGGGAGCCAGTGATTGCACGTGACGAGTTGTCTTTCAACGTGGAGAAGGCCTTTGTCGGATGATAAATGGGAGTTAGGTAACAATCATCATCAGCCCGTTTTCATCATCTGCTGAACATAGGCCTTTCTGATTGCTCGCCACTGAGCTCGGTCTTCAGTCACTCATCCAACCACTGCCAGCTGCACAGTGAATACCGTCACTCTACCTGGCTGGAAGGCGTCCTACACTGCATTCACTTAGACGCAGTCTCGACTCCAGACCAAATAACATATAGGAGTTGGCGGTGGTTTTTAGTCAGTAAGAGTCTGCCACTCCCTCACGCTTCACCCTCAAAAAAAAGACCATAAACGAACTAGAAAGTATACCTAATTAGCATTTTAGATAAATAGCTGTCGATTGTACAGTCTCTTCTTTGTGCCTTTATTTAGGCTTAATTCATTATGTCTCCTACAGTAATTCACTGAGGGAAGTGGAAACTATAGTTTGTTCTTCTTCTCCTCTTATAATATCTTCTGATTCACTCCAATCGGGAACCAAGACAGTTACTCATGTACCGTAGTCCCGTCTTTTCTCCTTCATATTATATAGATTTCTGTTATCTAAGAATATAGTTATCTCTTATTTACTCGTTCACGAGATAATATGTAGGTTTTTATGCTAACCTATCGTAGTAGTTCTCAAAAACCTGTATGATTTTCTCAAATAATCTACAAAATGAACTCTTAAAAGTAAATTCTACAAAAATACTCAGGAAATTTACAACGCATTTATCAAAGAATTATTGGAATGTTTTGGAATGCACTCTCTGGGAGGCACCAGCGTGTGTAGGTTCGAAAGCCTGTCGTTTCACACCTGAGAGAGCACGGATTTAAATCTGAAAGTATTGTAGGGTGGGGGCGCTGCGATCGCGTGTGAGGGACTATGCGCCAGGTGTGCCGGGCATGCGCTCCGACATTTAACTGATATTTTAGTTATGTAGGAATGTTTGTGTGCTTATTTTATTTATTTTTATTTAAAAAATACGTTGCCCTACACTAGGATTGTCTCCGGTATCGTGGGTACGTTTACAAACATGCAAGTTCACATACACATCACTCCCAGACACGGAACAACAATCTGTCGATCACACAAAGAGTTGTCCCGTGCGGGAATCGAACCCGCGACACGTTACGCAGCAGCCAGTTGCCCAGCCACCGCGCCAACCGTGCAGTCTGTGTGGTATTTACATAATGTAGCATCATGTCTTCGTCTCATAAAGGACAATAAGCTAAATGTGTTGTGTGTCAAGTGAGTAAGGCTACCGGAGGCCTAATCCGCAATCTCCGAACCCTCACACATTGACTCCTCAACACACAATCCTCAGAAGGTTGACAACGCACTAGTGACACCTCTAGCGTTAAGAATGTCCATGGGTGGCGTCGATTACTTACAATCAAGTGATTCAGGTGATCTGTCTGCTCATTTGCTGGTAAATGCCATACAAAATTCAATAGGACAAAGCCAAAGTCAGCAAGTATTTTGAAAATCAAAAGACCGAATAATACTTAGTATTGGGTTTTTGTTTAACAGCGGCTGCAATTGCGACCCTTCTATTAAAGGCGCAAATTAATCTTCTTACGAAAAATGGTTTGAAATTTGTTCATGGTTTTGCTTACCATAGATTAAGGTCAAGAAAAAAATTGGTTTTTATTACGAACAAAGTATATTGACTTTAATTTTTAAAGCAAGAAAATTGATTTTGTTGGGAGCCATTAAAATCAATTT